GGGACTTGGGGAGGGTGCTATGTTGCTTGAAGTGGTGAGTTTCATGGGTGAGGGTAGCCTCTATTTGTCCAAGGCTGGTTTTTATGATATTCTTTATAATGGAAAAACATTCAGCAAAATCAATTGGGAAGACAGAGTTTAACGGCCTTGTTGTTTTGTTACTGCTATAATATTTAAAGTGTCAGATGCCCTTGTGCAAAAATCAAAAGAGTTTCTGATTTCAGAGTCTATAATTTTGTTTTTTTTTTTCAGGTTAAAAAGGTCAAGCCCCATGTGCTGCTTGGTTTGTCAGGAGTTGGTGGCATCTTCAATGAGGAGGTGAACATATTTCATTTTCATTTTGACATATTGTCACTAATTTTATTTAACCCTTGTTAGGAGATAAGACTAGTGAATCTAATAATAAAATGTTTTAAAAGACCCTTTGTGACTTTTTGATCTGGTGAGCTGTTGGGTCATAGTTGCCTTGCCTACATGGCCATATAATGATGCTTTAAAATCTGTGGTTATGATAAGAATCTCAGCATTTTTCCATCAATATGTTTTATAGCATACTGATTTTTGTTTCTTTTTCAGTATATAATAGTTTGCCAGTGTACATGCATCTCGTCAATTCACGCTCTAGTTGCTTTAATTGAGATTTAGACAACATGAAAGTGTATTTATTAGCGTGATTCCTTGATGTTAAATAGAATTACCTTGACTTATCCACAATTAATCTCAGGGAATGTTATTATAATCTTAGTTACCTTGCATTTTGCTCTGATTGAGTTCCTCTCAAGTTTCAGTTATAATAAAAAACACGTGCTGAAGGCCATGCGAGAATCTGATTCAAAAAAACCTGCAATTTTTGCCATGTCAAATCCCACCTTGAATGGTTTGTTTTTCTGCCAATCATTTAGCACCCACAATCTTCTCATGGCACATATTGATTATTTTTTGCTTTACATGTGGGACAGCTGAATGTACTGCTGCCGATGCATTTAACCATGCTGGTGAAAACATAATCTTTGCAAGTGGAAGCCCTTTTCAAAATGTTGATCTAGGTATCTTTCCTCCTGTTTGAAGCCCGTTAGAAATATTTTGCACCATCAGTTGAAGTAGTTAAAGTATTTGGTGCTTCTTTCCTCATAAAGAGGCACTCCTGGCTATGTTCTGGCTGGTGATTCTGGATTTTTAAGCCTGATTGATTGTCATGTCGTAAATAATTTTCTTGCTGGCAGGCAATGGTAAAGTAGGTCATGTAAATCAAGCAAATAACATGTACCTGTTCCCTGGGTTGGTGTTCTTTTTCTTCTTCATTGTTGTTGTTAGGTTAGCGCTTAGATTTTCATTACTTGACTTACAACTTTGTTGCTTCCAATCCAGGATTGGCCTAGGAACTCTGCTCTCAGGTGCACGTTTTATAACAGATGGAATGTTGCAAGCAGCTGCTGAATGGTATGGATAGAACTTCCTCTGTGTGTGTGTGTGTGATGCTGGAGGACTATTATGGACACTGAAAATGCATTAGAAAAATATTGTTCAAATTTCATTGGGTCCAACTAGCTTTTGTGAAGCTTAGCACTGAATCCTGATTGTAATGGTTGTGAACTAATGCCAACATGTAACATATTTTAGTGAGGACGCAACTCAGGGTCCTAATTACATTGAGTATGCATCTTCTAGTCTTTTTGTTGATTCTAGTTACAAGATAAGCTAAATTTGACTGTGTCCATGTCTATATATTTTTGAGTTTCTAGTTAATTGAATCATTGAGAGAGCTAATTGGTACTGCATATATTGGATTAACTTCATTCTGTTGATTTATTGTAATTGGATGTTATACTATGCATATGGTTACCGGGTTTTATTTTACTGGGTGATTGATTAGTGTATAAAAGTTCTCAATGAGCTAGTGTTTATGTTTCTATCTTTTTTTAACCTATGATATGAGGTGACAAGAGATCTGTTTCATTAACATATGTTGGTAATGTGATGCTATCTTTGCAGTCTTGCATCTTATATGACAGATGAAGAGATTCAAAAGGGCATCTTGTACCCATCTACCGATAGGTAATCTCTAATGACTTTTAGTGGCTAGGCTTTTAGGTCCCTAGTATAGGATGTGTTGACTTTGATACAATCATATTGGCTGTCTAACATTTGTAGATACGAGCTCAGCTAATGAATCTTAGTATCATTATTCATTAATAATCCTGGTGTTTAATGTGGAAGAAACTGGGGGACCTCCCTAAAAGTTGGGTGGGGACCTCCCTAGTGTAGGATGTGTTGACTTTGAAATTTCATACATATGAGATACCTATATGCATGTACTACGTATTGTATCAGAAAGAAAGAAAGAAGGAAAAAGAAAAAAAAAACAAACACAAACATAATGGTATGGTCTCAATTCTGAGAATTTAACTCCACTTATGCAATGCAGTGTTCGGCATATTACAGCAGAGGTTGGAGCAGCTGTTCTGCGAGCAGCTGTTAGTGAAGAATTGGCAGAAGGGCATGGTGATGTGGGTGCCAGGGAGCTCATGCACATGTCAAAAGTATGAAACATCTTCTACTCAACTTGCAAGCTCTTTTATGTGATATAAACAGTAAAAAAATTTTTATATGTAAACAGTGATTATTTGAAGTACACATTAAATGGGAAAACATATGTCATTTAAAAGAATCTCAAATCTCACCTCAAATGTGCAAACATAATGGTGAGAATATCATCCTCCTCACCCAGTCCTGCACAGAAAGCCCAGGAAATTGTGGTGTTGAGATTGATTTAGCAGGTGGTGAATCATGACAATTTATAAAGTTTCTGTAACTAAGCTTTCCCAATGATTGCAATGGTTTAAAGTCAATTGGCAATGTTTATCAGAGTTAATTATTTATTAACATTTGGTTTGTAATTTTGGATGCAGGAGGAGACAGTTGATTACATCACGCGCAATATGTGGTACCCTGTTTACAGTCCTCTTGTTCACGAGAAGTAGGCGAACAATTATTTGATTCCATTTTAGAGACTAGTTATGGTTAATTCTATGTGAATTGCAGTCAGAAGTTGTGCAGGCAAAGTGCAAATTCATTTTAGCCATTGCTCTCTATCATATTTTCAAGAGAGACGAATAAAGGAGATCCATCAAGGTTCTTTCCAATTCAGAAGCTGTAGAAAAGCTCAAAGAATCAGGACTGTATTCTACTCTATGAGTTATAATCATCACTTAAAAACTTCTTAATACCTATCAAGTCATTGTTTGTTGGACACATTGAAATTGATTATCATTTCTAGGCCGGCATGAATTGATTATTTGAACCTTTTTTTTCTTAATTAAAAAA